TTTGTTTCGCAGAGCTTCAAGCTGGCACAGGACTTAAAGAATGATCTTATGTCCTCTGGAATTGATTTTTTCGAAAAAGGCTCTTTTGGGGAAGCTGTTGAATATTTCATTGAAGTTGTTCGTCTCTTCTGTGTGTTCAATCGCGAGGTTCATTTTTATCTAGCCAGATGTCAATTTAGATTGGTGAGTTTCGATGATGCTGTCTCTGAATGTCCTCTTTAGCTTATGATGGATTTGTTTATCACGTATTAATTTTTTGTGGCACTTCCATTTTTCCATAGTTAGCGATCACGTATTTGTCCAGTCACAGCTGTTCATTTTCAACTCTTTAGGCTCATTTGGTGCTTTTATTTTTAGGGAGTAAGAAGCAGCAAAGTTGCGAGACAAAGAAAAAGGAAAATTGTGAAACCGTGCATTGAAATTTGGTGGATTTTTTTAGTTTAACATGCATGCTATCGGACGAAAAATTCGAGGTTCTTAATGAGCAATCTTATCAATAATACTTAAATAGAAACTTATAGATTTACTTATATATCAACTTATATATCAACCAATAAACCAACTCATATACCAGCTTACATATCAACTTATATACCAACTTCCGTAGCTCGCAACCCCCTCCTCTTCCCGAGCCACTCACCACCCCCACCTTTCCCCCAATAAAACATTTTAAATGATGATTATCGCGCAGAACATAAAGCTATCTATGATAATTATCACTGACATTCTTGTTAAGTTTAATCTATTCCTTTTGTCATCCAATAGGGTGAGAATTTCAAAGCAAAGGAGAACTGCCAGAAAGGTAAGCATCCTGTCGGTTGATTCACTGTGTGGTCTCTGTTATGTAGATTATCAAAAAGGCCCTCAGCCATACGTCTCAATTATAACCGATACCTGTCTTCTGTTAGTATTGCAACATCACCCTGATGATCACGAGGCAAGAAACCTCATGGACAGCATTGATGCCATTATCCCAACACAGAAGAAAGATCAAAAGAGTACAAAGAAAAGAAAGTCAACACCGGTGAGTATTACATTTATATGTAGGTCAAGACATTATTTTCTCTTGACTTAGGTTCTATACCTGTAGCCTACAGAATGTAAGGTCCGATAGCCGAGCATTTTAAAAGTCAGCCAGTCAGTCAGTCAGTCAGTCAGCCTGTGTGTGTGTGTCTGTCATTTTGTGAATTACTTGGTTGGTCGGTTTTTCCAGTTACTTTGTGAGTTACTTGGTTGGTCAGTTTTTCCATCCCCTAGTTATATAAGTATCTCAAAAAATCGTTTTCCAGTCGATCAGTCAATCATCATCAAAAAACAAAAAGTCTGGCTTAGTCTGGATTGTTCATTCTATCACATCCATTTAAGTCAAAATCTTATGGATTAATTTAGCGAATGAGTGAATGAGTACATGCATTGGTCGATTAGATAACAAGGCCACAAGTCAAGGGATTCAGTGTAACAAACATTACGTAGTCAATTGGACATTTGATAGATGGTCTGACAGTCAGTTAATCTGCCAATCACGTTCCAGAGGATTTTAATTTCCTAAATGACCGATCGATAACAACGTTCACCTCCACGTAAACTCTTTTATTTTCTTTTCAGGTATCTGATGCTACACCACCTGTTACAGTTGTCCCAGATAAGAAATCTGTACGTGTCGTTTTGATAGACCAGAAGTACTAGAAAAAGTTATAAATTAATAATAAGAAAACTTGTGGCTTCAGGTGATTTCACAAGGTCAACCTGCCCATAGTGATAGTTGTCGACTATAAAAGTTTCATTGTTTGATCAAAGAGAAGCAATATAACTTCTCAGTGATTGGATTATCCTAATAAATAAGAGCCAAACCACAGCCTACGGTTCCTGGATCATGGAGGATAACGTTTGTAATAGATAATGCCCTTTAATGTACTTAGGTTATGAACAGAAAACAAAAAATGTGTGAGGAACATCGCCGAATTAAAGTAAGTAGCTGCTTTTTTCACTATCGCTATTTCATTTTTACTTTAATGATGGAACGTGTACAGCTACCTTTTCTCATAAAGCTTTGATTTTCGATTTTCGTATTAGAAAACTATCCCAATGACAGTCGTTAACTTACTTATGTCTGACTGACAGACTGTTACACTGACCGTCCGATTAAGTAACTGACTGATTTATTGAATTTTTCTTTAGGAGATTGAAGAAATTGGTACTGAAATCAAGCAAAAAATAGAAATAGATAAGGAAAGTGAAGAACAGAAGCAAGATGGGGTTAGTCTTTCCTACATAGATATCCTTATATTTATCATAGCTAGTAAGGGAAACATCCATTATAATAACAGTGTTTACTGTTACAGTATGGATTTGGTACGAGTGTTATGTTGACTACCTTTTAGTTAGACTTGTCCTCTTCCATAGCCTTTCAACTTGACCTCGCTTTAGTTGTTAGCTCTTATCCGTTTTTAATATTATTCTGAATCCAGGTCAACGCTCAGAAAACCTGGTTTTAAAAAAGTTTGTTTTTATAGAGGGCAATTCATCGTAATTTGTATTTTGCTCTTCTATTCATTTCTCACAACAGAAAAAGAATTCATTCGATGGAGAAAAATCACTTCCTTCCTACGATGTCAAATCAGGTGGATATCATTTAAAACAGCTGTAGTTTTTCATATCTGTTTAGTACGATGATAATTAAGTATTATTGTTCGTTTCCCTGAGCTGTTCTCGCAAGGCTGCCAACTCGATTTATTTATTTATCTATTCGTTTACTAAAATATAAATCCATTTTCGGAGAGTAGTGTGGTGGCTTCCGGGAACGCCACTCCACGGCTCAATTATAGCGTTTCTATTCACCTTTTGGGTCATCTTTCAGGGTATAACAGGATCCGGTTTTCATGGGGATGCAGAAAAATACTTGTTAGCTAAAGCGCTCATAGGTATTTTGGGAGCACGATTTCGAATCCTGTCAGAGTTGGAATTTTATTTAAGCATTTCTTTCACAACTGGTCATGTTTTGAAAGAGAATGAAAGAAGATGTCAAATAATTGACACGAGTATGAGCCAGATAAGAGTCTGAGTTAACTTTGAGGATATAAAACCATAGCCAGTTCCAATTACGTTTTCGAATCCTCTGCTACTTGAATAGGGCCCATGATTGCAATGTTATCCATTCTTTTTTACCGTGAATTGAAATTTTGAAACTTTTCCTTTTTTATCATACACAAGCCATGGAGGCGTCAAGTTTCAAAAGAATGAGTAGTGATAAACAGCCTCACCTCCAAGGTACGTCTAACTTTCAGCTTCACACTTTTGGTCTGTTTGGTTTATACCGGAAACCTATAGCAATAATGCGCATCAGGATTCTTTGCAGATGTTTTTTTTTTACCTTCCTATTGGTGTGTATTACTGACATAAAATATTCATTAAATTAAGCTGTCGAAAGTCCATACTTGGTATATTCTTGACAACATATCTGATAAAAGCAATCACAGGTTCAAGGGAAAAGGTTTTTGGAATTATGTTAGTGTTCAAACAGTCACGCTTAGTGCCATGATCTTTTTACTTGAGTTTTCACAAGGCTAGTGAAATTGTTACTCGCCTGAGTTGTTTTTGTCGTTATGTCTGACAACAATACGTCTTTAACGGCTTTAATTTAAAACGTTATTATGGTAAGAAGAAAGTGTTATTTAGCCATACATAATTATCTTTTCCATGTTCTCAGCCGCCATTGCATCAGGTGCAAGACCAAAACAGCGAAAAGCCAGTGAAGGATCTGGAAAGACCAAGGTTACCAATGGTAAATGTTGAAAAGAGACAGATTCTTCTATTGCCCCTTGCGTTTATAACATCCAATCATAAATATTGGTCAGAAAAATTTCTATTTGGCTATCGTTACCATCTGGAGAAAGTGCGATAATGTAGCCTTGTTCTATTGAATTAGTTGAAAGAATAGTTTACATGGCCGAGGTCAAGAGTTATAAATGGCGTGGTCGACATATAAACGCAGTCACTTAAATTTGTTATTTTTTGTTCACGCTTATAAATTTATTTACGAGGTAAAGATAAACTAAGATAAACTAGAGAAACGAGACATAAATTGGCCATAATTACAATGTCATAACTTATCTATGAATAGCTGAAGGTGATGAAGGTCGTAAAAAAAGACAAAAGGCCACCGATAAACATCAAGAATCCTCAAAAGGCCAGAGAACGAGCTCAGCCGCAGAAGCCATCAGGGACTGCAAACACAGGAACTTAGGCATTTACCAAGGACAAAAGAAAAAAGAGGAATGGCAGGTAAATGAAAGCCAACGGAAAGCAGCGAAAGCTAGGCAGACATTCAAAAAAGACTGCTCAAATCAAGGTTTTGCTGCAGCAACAATATGTACCCTTCCTACCAGAGCTAATTCAGAAACATCTGTTGAAACGAAACCCTCAAAATCTCAATGGGAACGTCTTGAGGAAATTTCTTCTTTGCAAATCCATAGCACCTTAAATTTCGGAAAGGCATCACAAAAAGAGTCTCTGACAGCCACGACAGTTAATAGAGAAAAAGGGGCTCAAACCATTGCTTCTGACACATCATGTAAGAATGGATCAGTTCAGCAGTCGACAAAGATACTTCCAGAGGGTGTATCTAGAATTTGTGCACATTTTCTGCAAGATAATAGACGAGGGCAAGCCTTCCAGCTTCCGAAACCTTGTCTCAGGTGTTCAAAGGATTCCTCAAAACATTTGTATGGAGTTTGGAGAAGTTCCAAAAAAGAATGGCAGGTTATGAGACCTTACCCAAAGGAGGTGAGCGCGAAAACTCCTTTCCGACCATGTTCGTACTTTATCGAGGGCCTTAAGTGTCGAAACGATCCTTGTACCTTTGCCCATGGCCAGAAGGAGCTAAAGTTCTGGACTATGGAAAGAAAATCAGGTAAGTTAACGGTTCATGTTGAACAATACCGTATGTTCAATAAAATGTCTTGAGCAATATTCTCCCCATACAATATTTACAAATAATTTGATTAAATATAATCGACTCCACGTTTTTAAATTTTTTACAGACCAGGTCTCCTTTCGAAAGACTTCTATGGATCAAAAAATACAAAGCAAAGATTATCGCGCAAACCTCGCTAACCCTCGGGAACGACTTGAAGAATCGTCCATCATTCCTAACCACCCAAGACCTCCTCCAACAGGAGTTTACTACGGAGAATTTCAATTGTGTAAATGGTAAATGGTAAATCGAATGCACTTCATTAAAGACAGCATACAATTAAAAGTTAAATATAATGAAGCAAATTTTTCAAGCGCTCCTTTTATTTTTCGGCGACGCCTTCATTTACTTTCGAGTGAATTAATTACGAAATACACGGCCTATGACATATTTATTACAGAGATGTGCTGTCTGTGAGATGAAGAAAATATCTTCACCACGCCTTGTTTATGTATTATCGAAGACCAACTGATTTTGCTTGCAGTCCCTAATGTTAAACCGGAATAAAAAACAAGGTTTGATATGTAATCTCACTAACACACTCCTCTTGTTGCACCTTAACACTCTATTAACCGACGTAGATCAAAGGTTTCCTGACTCTCTTGTTCCTCGTCTCTCTCTGTAGCTTAATGCAAGTTGAAGCAATCATCACACAATTGGTTAGGATCTTGTAAAGTCCGTCGTCAGTTCCCCTACTTCAGGAACAACGTAATTTCATTTAAGGTCTCCTTCGTGATCCTTGGGTCTAGAAATCAAAATTAGTGACAGCAACAATCTTGGAGAGTCTCGTATCGACTAAGATAAATTTCTCACTTTGTCAATTTTTTTTATTGAATTCTATTAAGGTGGAATTCTGGTCAACGGTGTAGATATGGAAGATTTTGCACCTACGCTCACGGAGAGGAAGAACTGAAATCATGGATGGAATACAAGAACGAGGAACAAGAAAATGAAAGCGACGAGGAACAAACATTGGACAAAACAGACAGGGAGGAAGCCATACCAAGAAGCGAGGTGCCATTATTAACACTGTCATTGACATTGTCATTTCCAAACGCCATTGCCGTTGCCTCTGTTATTTTCATTGGTTTTTCTGGCATATTTCATAATACTGTGCTTCTGTGGTATTTTATTCGAGAGATTTACGAATCTGCATAGCGTAATAAAACTTCGAAATTATTCAATGTATTTAAAAAGATCA